GAAATGTGACTATTTTACAAAATACTAGTCCACTAAATCACAGCCAAGACAGGTCACATGGTAAAGGCCAGTTTTATATTCTTGGATGCGTTAAAATGAGTACACGTCATTGCAACTTCCATAACATTAGCCTGGCATGGCTGAAAGATCAATATAATAAGTATATATAAATGTATAATGTTACGAGATTTAGACTAAACATTTGTGTTTTTGTGTTATAATTTGTAGTCATTCTTAGAACAAAAAAAGCATAATTTATATTTGTTTTCTAAATTTTTATGGTGGTTATGAGGTCGGTCAAGGTGATGAGCCCAAACAGAGATTCGATAGTGAAAATAACATAAAATGTAAAGTTTTTTCTTAACAAGCATTTGATAATTATCTGGAGGTTATAAAGATTTCACATGTGAATTTGAAAATTTTCTTATGCATAAAAATATTTTTAATCTTAAAATAAAAATGACTTTGCATGTCAAGTAGTCGACATTCCAAAAGAAAAAAAGGCACGAGAAAAACTTTACTTAAAAAATCCTAAAACTTAATAAAAGGATCCGATATTTTGTGTACGAAAACCTTGTAATGTTTACTGATAATCTGCAAAATTTCGTGAAGATACTCTTACTAATTTAAAAGTTATAGCATGAAAACTATAACAAACTCAATAGTTGCAAGGTCAGCTCCCGAGACTGAGCACGTGCTGAAAGAGTTAAGTCTGTCGTGTAATATTCCTCCAGTTTCTTCAGTGTAATTCACTTCTTTTTTTTTTATAGAACAAAGCATTGAGAGTATAAGAAAATGTTTTTAATGAAATGTGACCAGCTTTTGTAATCTACACATGTTTTGGATTTATTCATTAATCTGATGTCTGTAATACTGATATGTTTTGTTAAAGTTGAACATAGGCTGAAATGGAATGGTAACATTTACACCAACAAGTTAAATTAACTGTCCATATTTTTGTGCTACTTCAATGTGTGATTATATAACATCATTGCGTGATGATTTGATTTAAAACTGTACATTGCTGTCCAGCTGATTTGTTGGGGAGATTTGTGTCAAGTTTTTCACTGTTAACTTTTATAGATAAAAAAAAACTCTCTAAGTGCCAATTTTATCTTTAGATACATAATAAAAAAAACAAAAAGGTGTACGTTTTAATATTTCAGTACTTATCTGAGAAATTTTAAGGGGAATACCCTTTCTTCATAATGGTACAAAACTCCAAACTCGCACGTAAGCTACTAGAGGGGAGTGTGGGGGGTATGTGTGTGTTTGTGACAGTTAGAGTTGAAAATGCTTTTTTTTTTATGATAAGAATACTAATACTTTATTATTGTAGTAATGAATTGTGGAACAGAACATGGCTTAACATAACTGATGTTTGCAATTAAACATTGAAATATAGGACTGTTAGAATTTTACTTGGTGTGACATTACATATAAATTCAGGCAGCTATGACAAGAAAGTATAATTTTTTAAAGGGTTTTGTTATAGATTGTTGTAATTTTATGTATTGTTGATATATATACTGAAAATAGTATACAAAGTAACCTTTTATAAATTAATGATAATAAAGTTTATTAAAGAATATCAAAAGAATTATAACATTTGATTTCATAATATGTACTGGGTGTAACTTGTGTATTGTAACATCTTGACTTTCATGTATACCATATGATCATTTTTCACTGTATTTACACTTTATTATAACAAGTGAGGATATAATTATATTAATATCGGTTGTTTTTTTAGTAAAAGAATGGACCAGTAATAAATATTTGTTCTGATAAGATAAATATATCAGTTTTTAGTATTTATGAGTATATTTACTAACAAATAAAGTAAGGACAGAAAATCTGTGAAGTTTTTGACATAATACATATATTTCATAGTAATTGTCACAAAACAATGAAAGATTTATTTACACATTACATTTTTATGACTTCTATAAATTTATAGCACAAATGGGAATATTGGAAGGAAAGGCCATAGGGCAGTGGTTTGGACCTAACACAGTAGCACAGGTGCTAAAGTAAGTTAATTTTTAATCAAATTCAAACAAATAACTTAGTATAGTATTCATGATAAAACTTTGGCAACTGCCTGTTGTAGAAATACAAGTGTAGAGGACAACATTTCAAAAGTCTTCAGCTTTTCGTTATCAAGTCCTGAATACATCATATGTACAGTTTGATAAGATGTTTAATGGTTAGTTACATAGATAATGTTGAAAAGTTAAAGAAATATACATAATTCTTTAAGTTTTTTTTCTTCTGAGAACCGTGTTCTTTTGTTTGATGTAAAGATGTTAAATTTCTGTTTCATTGACCTAATTGCCACCCCTGTACAATAAAGAGGATCATGGCTAGTTTAGCCTTTAACAGTTAATATCCAGTATTATTAGATTAAACAAACAGAAGCTGTTTTTTTAATCTAATTATTGAAATTTTACGTAATTGATATTTCTAACACTGAAAGTTGGTTATTATGCAGTATATTTTCATGAGAAAGTTTATATATGATAGTATTAACAAAAAAATAATAATTATATTTTATGAAATTTATGTGGCTGAAATTGATATTTAACTGTGTTTCATATTAATTAATCTTCACATATCTTACAGAATAGTGTGAAGTTAATATGTGTTAACTGAATTTTAATATCAAAGTTTCATATTTTGTACCATCACTTTAGGATTTATTAATATTCTAAATGAAGTAATATTTGTGGGAAAAATGTTTGACAAAATTTCAGTGGTTTGTTTTGACAGTGGTTGGAAAATTGCAACAGGAAATTTTGTTTTATGAAGAAATTTTCTATACTGTCCATGAAAATTGTTTTCTAAGTGTGCATTGCCGCTAATACTAAACATAATACTGTAACATTTTTATTGACAGTAAAAAGAAATACATTAATTTTCAATGAAATACAAAACAAGTATAACTTCAGGAATTATTACAGGTTTATCGTAGGTTCTACCTCCACTCCACCCCTTCCTTCTATAATAAAGTGAAGCTAGGTATCCTCTAAAGTGCATGATTTCAAGTGTATTTTTAGAAGTATATAACTTATTCGGTCTTTAGACATCAATAAATATCTAGGTACCTGATGATGACAAAACCTTGTCGAAACGTTGTACATTTGCTGACATGTTAAACTTATATTAACGTTTTTCTTTATTACCCATTTAAGCCGTCTCCAGCCATTATAAATATCTGTATTTGTTTTTCATGTATAATTATCAAACTTGAAAAACAAATTTCAGAAATAACTTTTTTGCAAATTGGTAAACTTACAATTGATAGTGATACTTGTAAAATAAAATTTACCATCAGGAATTAGCATGATAATCTTTGAATTTGTAGCTAGTGATGAATGGTTAATTAGTCTAAAGAGGATAATGTTTTTTTGAATACATCATTTATCATGTAACATTTGTTTGTATTTATCCTTCTCATGGTATGTGTATAAATAATAAGTGTTCTATTTTCAAATTATCTTTTGTGCTTATGTGAAGGGAAAAACTGACTGTAAACTGATAGTAAAAATGTTATTCAAAATTTATTTATTTATTTTTTGCCAAGTTTAGGAGTAAAATATTTCTTTCAGTGTTTAGATAATTTTCCAGTTTTCCAATATATATTTAAATTAATGTGTTTGCTCCATGTGAGATTATGTGATCCAGTGCTTTGTCTAATTAAAGTTTAGCTTATATGAACTTCTTGTTGTAGCCTAATCTATGTACATCTACTCAAACTAAAACCACTGACATTTGTCAGTACTTTTCTATAATACTCCTACTTTTCTGTTGACTTTATGTAGAAGTAATAGTTTGTGCCTATATAAAAGTTCATGTGGTGTGAGTGAAGCCTAGTGGTTAGCATGGTGGACCGTAGATCAGAGATTCAACGGTTTTCATCCCATTACTGCCAAAAATTAAAAAAAATTCCCTTCTGTACTTTGGTGCTGCAAGCATTATAAGAATGACAGTTTAATCTCACTAATCTTACAAGAGTTGGCATTGATATTGCTGACTAGCTCCCTCTAGATCATCACTTTAAAATTAAAAATGGTTAGTGCAGGTAGTTCTTGTGTAGCTTTCAACAAAATTAAACAGACAATAGCACATATAAGTTTATCTGTTTAGAAGAAAAGCATTGCACTATGAACTATGATTAAATTTTTAATATATTTAAGTTAGAATAAATGGAATATTTGGATTGAATAAGCACTGTTCGTTGACAGCAAATTTTTTCAACATAACTTATCATTACTTCTCTTTGATCAGAAAACTGTCTGTGTATGACGACTGGACATCAATGGTTATTCATGTTGCTATGGACAATACTGTGATAATTGATGACATTAGTGAGTTATCAATCTATTTATTTTTTACTTTTATCACTATGAAAATATAATATTTTTACTGCTTTAGATAAGTATTTGTGTACCAAATTAAATGGTAAAATGTATTTCTGTGTAGTTATTTCTATTTAAAAGTGTTTTACCACCTCAGTTTTATATACATGCTGTTGAAACATGGAAACCATGTATAAACAATGCCATTTCTGCTAATCTTTTTTTTTTCCTTACTTGGTTTACAGTATTAGTTTGTTCTCTGATGATTTCAAAGAACAAATTTAGATTAGTTTAAAAAGTTATTATGCTATTATACATTTACTATGTTAAGATTATAAGTTGAAGATAACTTTGACTAACAAATATCATTAGATATTGTTTAAAAGTGATAAGATACATGATATCACTTTGAGAAGTCAACTTAAGTAATCTATTACTAGCTCAATCTACTGTATTCAAATATTTTTTCAAGTACAGAAAAAGTTAAACACACACTGAGACCAACCTTACAACCACCAGATAACTATTAGAGATTATAGACATATCATAAACAATTATACCAACTGTCATTTGGTCTTCTTTCTTCCAAATATCCTATGTTCCTTTTGTCAAAGTGCACTCAGGCTGATTCAATTACCTTTGAACCATGCTTTGATGGAATAATTCTTCTTTTTATCTCCTTTTCTACTGTAAGTCTTACTCTAGCATATTAAACGTTAGGCCTATCACTTCTATCGTAGTTAACTTCACGCTGAACTTTTCCTTGCCCGTAACTTTACTCTCTTCTGCTATTATCTGTCTGCTGTTTTTGCTCGTCTCACATTATTTATATCTTTATCATTTAATCGTCTGGCCTTCTAGAAATCTATATTCTCGATGTTAGTGTATTGCAAGCAATGTTCGATAGTCTCAACATCGATGAATTATAAACTAAACAATAATTAAATATTCACTCACAAAATAAATAAATTAAGAATATCTAAACTAAACAGTCTTTTATATCATGACAGATTTATCTGTGGATATATATAGAATGGTAGTGTGACTCCTACTAGTCTTGAGTGCAAGATGATTTTTATGTTAATATTAAAAATATTTTTCTTCACTTGATGGTTTTCCAGTTTGATTTGTAGAACCTCCTAAGTGGATATCAAAAGTTATTTTTCTGTAGAACTTTACACTGTATCTCTTATTTTTTCTACCGTAACACTGTATGGACTTGGTCAATTTGACTGATCTTTTAACCATCTTGTATTACTTGGATTTGTTTTATTGTTGTGCTAAATTCCTGTGTTCAAGCTGGAAAATGGTAACTCACTTCCTTACACAGAAATGCTATTTTCCCCAGGCATTTGCCTATGAGGTTTGCATTCCACTATCCTTGAGGTAACCTTCACCTAAAATCATGTGTTTGACATGAACTGTGCTGAGGCACGTCACACCACCATGTGACAAAAGCCCTCCACCAGTAGGAGGGCAATACAACCTTCATGTGTAGTAACTCCCCCCCCATGAACTTCCACTCGTTATAACCTCATTCTTTTCCTCAGCATTGCATTGAACAAACATATGCAAAATTTCTTGCCTGGGTTCAGTTTGAGATCTATATTTGTTAATGAAACTTTGGTTTTTTTGTTTTCTATGGCTTTGTTTCAAAATCTTAAATTTTGATCATGAATTCTCAAATGAAGACAACGTATACTTAGTCCTGTGTGAGTGATGATATGCGAATGATCTATTGGACTACGAATTTAACCTGATTTGCTTTGTGTGTACTGTCTTACCATTTTAGGAATGACCTTAACCTTCCAGTTTCTTTCTGGATTTCATTCTCAGGTATGTTCCTTTTCTTATCTGATGCATGTGTCCTTTAATATTCCTCGTTTGTCACTTCATGATCACAATTCTTGAAGTTTACTTTGTTTTCTTCCTTGCTTGTTATTATAATTTTTGTTGTTTCCTTTCTGTAATAGTTCCTCTCTCACACCCAAATGCCTTGTCCCCCTTGCATTCTTGATTCTTTGATCCTGACCTGTAGACATTCTTCCTTTCCTTTTTCAATTCCATGTCTTTGGTATATTTTTGGTTTGATTGTAGATTGGGCTCCTTGCCTTCTATTTTGTTATCTGGTTCTCCATTTTTATATCTCCATCTTTCTCTAACTACCCTCCTGTACTCCCTCTCCTTTCTCCACCTTTTGTCTGAAGTACTTCATCATGCTTCAAAGGGATTTTCTGTAGAAGTTTGTTCCCTTTTCTTTGCCAGCTTAGCCTGTTCCACTTCTTCTCTCTTTATCCTGTCTCACCAAGTAAGCTCGCCCTTTCAGCCATGGGACATTATAATGTGATGGTCAATCCCACTATTTTTTGGTAAAAGAGTAGCCCAAGAGTTGGCAGTGGGTGGTAATGACTAGCTGCCTTCCCTTTAGTCGTTCACTGCTAAAATATGGACAGGTAGCGTAGATAGCCCTCATGTAGCTTTGTGCAAAATTCATAACAAACAAACAAACTCTCCTTACCTTATTTCCTTGGTGTTGGGACTTGTTGGGTTCCACTCCCCTTTACTGTACACCTTCCTCCTTCTAGTGTACATGGTCTTCATTGGGCTGCCTTTCATTGCTTGGATTCCTTTGTTGGTCTTCATTTCTCTCTGGAGACATGGAGTGACATTGTTTGATTTTAGTCCTTATTCTTTTCCCAGGTTTGTATTTCTCAATCTTGCCCTTTACTCCTGTTCCTCATCTGGATCAATCTATCCATAATCTTCCCATTCCAGGTTCCATGCCTTCTGTTTTTTCTCCTCCCTCTATTAGACATTTAGATCATCACTATAATTATCTGTGACTACCATGTCATGTCTGGTCCTTTGGGTACCCATCTTTTTCATTTTACCACCATAGTCTCTCACCTCACTTTTTTTTGCTCCTCTTCCCATTTCCGTTTCTCCTCACTCCAAACCCGTCTATGGTCTTTTTTTACCCAGTCTGCGGTTGAGTATGGTCGATATGTCAGACACCTTTGTACACATTTCTCTTGACCTGTCCTCAATATGTGTTCTATGCCATCCATCAATTCCTTGCTCTTCCCATCAATGTAGTGTCAGCTCCTTTTGTATTCATTTGTGATATGAGGGCCTTTGCTTGCCTTAATTGTGGCCTTGGCTAACATTCTTTTTCTTGGACAATTGATTTATGTTGGCTCATACTCTGATGGTATCCTCTTCCCAAACCTTCCTTTTTTACAGAAAACTACTCAGTTGGGGTGGTTTGTCATGATATCTAAGTCCTTTTTCATGTCCACTCAATATTTGGTACTTTGGAGCATTTTCTTCATCTTGTCTCAGCTGATTTTATCCTTCTCCTTATTGTTGCCTGCAAGCTGTGGCATATCTAGTTACCAGGATTTGCACTTCTCATTCTCATCCTGCACAAGGAGTTCTTTCACTTTTCAGGATTCTTGCTTTCCTAGAATCCTTCATTCCTTTGGGTTGTGCACACATATGCCTCCTCTTGTGGGCCTTGTGGATCCATAGGATTCTCAGGTTCTATTTTCCTTGTTTGTAAATCTCCCCTCTCCTATCCTTAAGGAACTGTCATGGTGACTGAGCAGTGCCTATACTACTTCCAGTGTTCCCTTATCAACTTCCAAGCTGGATCTATCTTTTCACTGATGCTTTCCTCTGTTATTGAGGCGCATCTCTGAAAAGATATGACTTCTGGCACTTTGACACAGGACAGGTGCTTACTTCACATCAATGTGCTCAAACTTCTTGTTGTTTATGGGGCATATTTGCATTCTTGCCCTACTACAGGATTGATAATGCTTGGAGATGGCTTGAATAGGTAATGAAGAAAAACTTTAATACAAGTTTAACATAACAGCAAATGTACAACGTTTTGACATGGTTTTGTCATCATCAGGTACTAGTAGATTGGTTGATCATGATCCACTCTGACAATTCTTCCATTTCTTACATTACCCATTCAAGAGGCACCTGCTTTAGGACCCTTTTCTTTTGGGTGTTAGATTTACTCTTCTGAACTCATTTGCATTGGGTTATTCTTCTTTTCTGTCATTTACCAGGAGCTAAGAACTTAAGGGCAAATCGTTTCTCTCAGGTGGTCCGCATTCTACCAATGGGGTAGTCTCTACACTTCCAGGTCTTTCATTGTGTTTTCTCTCGTCTGGATATGCTTGTCATAGATGCCTTTGCCAGCCACCCTTCTCAACTCCAGGCTTCCTTTCTTCTGGTCCTTTGTTCCTCATCCTTCAGCTCTCACTATCAATGCTGTCTGCTAGACCTGGTCTCACCTCTTTCTATTTGCCTATCCTCCTCTTCAACACCTCCCTTGGGTCCTAGCCTTGATATACGACACTTCTTGTGGGGCCTTGTTGTTGGCATTTCTTTGGCCAGCTCAGCCTCTGTTTCCTCTGCTTCTTCACTTAGCATCCATAATCCTCCTTCCTCTACCCAAGTTCCCCTCTCTCTCTCTTACTTTAACCTGACACATCCCTTTTTCATCAAGGGATATCATCTCTCCATCTTAACGTGCGAGATTTGTCTGGTCCGTTCCCATTAGACTGGACTCTACAATCATGTGGTATTCTTCTTGTCATCCTTACACTGCTTGTCTATCAAGGAAAGGGTCAGGTCTTTCATCATTGACCCATCCACTACACCTTTCATCCTAACTGTTCTACTGTGAACCACCTTTCTGCCTCTTTTACATGGCTGTTCATTCATGGTTTTTGGTCTCCACCATTGTTGGTTATTAGGTGTCCTTGTACGTTGCATTTTTTCTTCCCCTGTCCTCACCACTTTGTTCTAATCCTTCATTCTTTTATGACTTCCTCACCTGACCCTTATGCCAGACCGTGTAACTCACTTGTCATTTTCTGAAAATGTCACCTTGACATTTTTACCATCTTAAGCTAAATATAAATGTTAAAAGAACTATCTAAATATACTTTAGTAAGATCAGTTTGTTCATGAAGAAATACATGAAATAATACACCCCACAAAATTAAGATATTTTCTTTAAATTTTATTATCAACATTAACTATATGAATTTGTTTTGTTTTGCTCATGATAGTATATTGTTCTATTCAACCAACATTAATAGTGTGTGTGTGTGTGTGTGTATATGTATATATATATATATCTTTCTGTTGAGTTGGTATAAAATTCAAGATTAAGAGAAGTAGGGGAAGTCTACTCGAGATAAATGATTCCATAAAACTTTATTCTTTGCATTATAAAGCAAACACAGTTCACCATTTTTCTAGGAACATTGTGCAGGATGCCATCTTCGAGTCAGCAAATGAACAAACCCTGCAATAATATTTGTTCAACTTCCATGAGAAACAGAGGTGGAATTAACAGTAAGATGAGCCTAGAAAATGGTATTTATTTTCAGCATCCAACACTTGACTCTTGTTTATCTAACGAACAAGTTCAGTCTTCCTCTAATAACTCATCTTCACTGTGGAGGCCTCTACTTTTATTTATACCCCTTAGACTAGGCCTAACTGAAGTTAATCGTATGTATATAAGAAGTTTAAAGGTAATTATGTATGTTTATTTAAAATATTTAGCATTTTGAAGTGGTTAAAGTTGTATCTATATGAGGAAAACTATGTGTTTTAGCTGAGATTGACTTAATCATATAAAGGGAAACCAAAAGTTAATTTACTAAATTAGAGAAAGCCATAATTTATATAATGGTTGCTAATTGTCATACATGAATTTATTACAATATAGTTTATGTGTAAAAATTGTATTCCATCTAAATTGTTTTTAGTTTAATTTGCAATATATTATCTGCACTAGTAAATCAAAGAAGAAAATTATTTAGAAATTTCATAGTTACAGTCTTAAGCTTGAGGTTATGACCTTTCACAATGATTATTGAAATAGATTAAGAAACTACAGAAAATTCAACTGTAACATGAAATTTTACTTTGCTTCCTTACAGACTACCTTTAAACTGAAGCAATCCATAGGAATTATAGGAGGACGTCCCAACCATGCTCTTTACTTTATTGGCATTGTAGGTAAGGTATTTCCATTTATAGTGAAAGGCAGTACATTTTCCATCATTCAAACTAGTAATTGTGCTATCATTATCACATTAGGGTGGTGTTGACTTTAGTACAGTACACCACCGATTTTCTGGCAACTGATGGTCCAGCACCTCCTTTAATCTGGTATAAATTACGAGAGTGCACTTGAAGTTCCCGCAACCCCCAGACTTGTTCTTTGGGCGGCCACAGATGGCGTTCACTCTTTCAAGACGCGCTACTCGCATTTTAAGTCGGTACATCACTCTTGGGAAAATTTTCTTAGAAATATTAAACTAGTGGGTCAAATTGCTTGATTTTTTCATGAATATTGCCAAGAATATGTAGTTTAACAAGGTCAAAGCACATAAAACAACTTTGCTTGGATGAAATGTTTAAAAACATAGCCAAGAAGAATGTATGTCAGAGCAGTAGGCCTACATCCGATAATTCTGTGGCTTCAACTTCAAGAACCCCAGATATTCCCCCTGCAACATCACAAATTCATAATGGAACACCCTGACACCCCTCAACTTCCAGACCTTTGTGATTAGCTCTACAATTGCAGTAAAATTCTAAAATTTGCCACTTTGGAAGAGATACTACTGCAACATTCTTTGTAAGTACAGTAATTAATAAACGTTTTTCATTTATACTGTACTAATAAACCATTATCATTTATA